TATTCTTAACCGCGGCACTAGATAAGGTTAGTTTTCAACTCCACGACTCGACCACAAGAAAAATATTTTTAAAATATTTGTAGGTCCTCTTTGATTTAAAATTGTCATTGGTGTGACTACAACGATTGTTATCTTCTGGAATGTGACACCGTATAATTTGGTAGAAATTTACTGAACTCTCCGAAGAAGGTATTGCCTCCTTGCTGGTTGTTGTTCGCCTTATTCCTCGGTCATGAATACGGAAGAGGCAGTTAGTTCCTCCCAAACATTGGCTAGTTTATGCCAGACAATACGGTGTCACACCACAGACAGTAATAGTCTTTACGTCTATGTCGGGCCAACTGGATATCAGTCAACGGTGTCACGTTAAACCATTTGATTTTGGGATCTGCTTCGCGTGTAATTCAGATATAAGACTTTAGACAATCTGGTTACTTGTATCACACAAACACAACGAAGTTCTGTTGTTTCTTAGTTCCATTTCTCCTCCTATGCCACTCCTTCGTTCACCCTGTTTAATTGTTCTTCCTTTTATTACCATGTTCGTCATTACAAGGGCAATGCTAGTGGTCATCTTGTGTCAGCTTCAACTCAACGCCACGAAATGGAATTAGGGTTCTTGGTCTCAGTAGCCACGGAGACTAAGACATACGAAACACCTTGATGATTGTTTTCTCAAGTATACTGTACCAACATCATTAGCAATACAGTGGAATTGCCTTGTTACCTAGATGTTTGTTTGTCTGTGAACCTCCACACATCAAATCCTTAGCCAGAAGATCGGTTTATGTGATGTTTCGATGTCTCCATGGGGAAAGAACGAGAATAGGACATTACAGAGTGTGACCGTATTGAGTTGGATAGGAGCGTCTTAGTGGAATAAAAATTGCAGGGTAGGATAGTATACGATAGGACTAAATAGGGTTGAACGGGATAGGAGAGAATAGATTATACCAGTTTAGTGTATTCTAAGACAATATATTTCAAGACAGTGCAGAATAGAACTAGGCAGAATTAGGGTAGAATTAGACAGATATTCTTTGTTCCTTTTTTTTTGTTACTTTACTACGCTGTTTTATAGCGTGATGATAAAATGATTAATGAATATGAAGCAGCAGGTTAAATTAAAATTGACAAGGAAAGCCGAAGTACCCGAAAAATCTACCAGTGTCATTTTGTTCAGCAAAAATTACCTGACATGGGATCGAATTAGGCCCACAGTGGTTGAAAGCCAGCCAGAAGCCGCCTGAGCTGTAATACGACCGTGATATATTACACTACACCGGAGAACAGGTTGCAGTACGGTAGAATAGGTTACAATACGGGAGAATATGTTACAGTACGTGAGAACAGGTTACAGTAAGGAGAATATGTTACAGTACGGAAGAACAGGTTGAAGGACGGCAGAATAGGTTACAGTACGGAAGAACAGGTTGAAGGACGGCAGAATAGGTTACAGTACGGAAGAACAGGGTGAAGGACGGCAGAATAGGTTACAATACCGGAGGACAGGTTACGTCGGAGCTGAGTAGAGAAAAACAGAATCAGGAAAGTTACAGTTTTACAGGAGGGGATGGACCCCTGACAGGATCTGTCCTGTTTTCCTAACTCGAATCAAATCCTGGCCATTCAGCTCATAGGCTTAACAATGTTAGGTAACAATGATTCTGATCGATTGACTTGAGGACCTCAGTGAGCGACATCATTTGCAAATGATTTATCAAGTGTAGATTAAGAAAGACGGAAAATGGTTAGATACTGTAGTGCATTCCAGGCAGGGATTCTCCGAATTGTGGTAACATCGTAATCTTCATTTCGATGTTGTCAGTCTTAGATGCCTCTTTAATATATCCCAGATGGCAGTTATAAATAAGATTTTTCGCGAATTTTCCCATTCCCCCCGCCCCCGCCCCTTCTAATTCGATATTAATATTTTAAAATTCAAAACGTATCCGTAGGCCTATCTCATTTAAGACAGGCAATTCAGCGACAATCCAACAGTTTATTCGTTCCACGTTAGCACGATGATTTCCCGAAAACTTCTTGTACTTTCATTAATCGTCACCTGTGGTTGTTATGTGTATAACCCTGCTTCGTTTTCAGCAGGTATTCTGTTTGAACTTCTTAACATCACTGAATTCATCATTCATACTAATCTTCTCATTAGACGTCACAAGCCGAAATAATATATGAAGCGTAACAGCTCGGTCACTAAAATATGCGACCGGATAGGATTTTCGAGGGTGTAGGGATATTTCCATTCGCGACGTCGTCCGAAGAGACTTTGGAGCCTCCTGTTTAATGTGTATGGCAGAGATCCGATCTTAGGGGCTAAGGCAGCAGCAGCGTTCGGCACCTATTTCAAAAGAAGCGTTTGATGTTTGATTGCGAGGTGCTTAGGGTCGTGGATACTGTCACCTTCATATGAATTACAAGTTTACGTAAGCATGTGTGTTTCTTCCGTGAACTCTTCAGGATCCAAACGTAATTTGTGTTATTCTTACAATTGTAAGTATTGAAGGCTACTACAAGTCGAGTGGATAACTTTAATACTTTCTCGCGTAGTTCTGACTGCTCACCGTGGTATGAAATATTTCATAAGCACATAATAGTTCTTACAATAATTTTATGACTCCAAAATTTTTTTGTTTTTTATAATTTTGTTTCATCNAGGTTGAAATACAGGATTAAAATGGATCTCTAGGAAACAGAGGCATCACATGTGGACTGGAATCAATTGATTCTTCATAAGGTCGAGTGAGGATTTCTTGTCAAAATTACAATAAACATCTCAGTTCCATAAAAGCAGACAGTTCAGCACCCATAATCTTTTTACGAAAAGTCCTGCTCCATGAAGTTTTGTTCAAGCTCAGTGCAACTGGAATATCAAGTGCAGAGTTTATTGTATGTAATTCGTTGTTGCGCTCAGTAGAGAGTACCTGCTGGTCAGGACCTTGCAAAGGAAGATTGGCATCGGGAAATGCTTTTATTAGTAGGCTAGTCGCAGCTTTAATGGATTCTCTTCGGCTTCAGGAGCAATAAATATGGACCTTACCAGTTCCCTAATGTAAATACATTTTTTAATGTTTCTCTTTTTTTATAAAATTAAAAATAAAAGAGGAGCTGAATGCGAGCCGAGAAAAAATTAAACAAAGAGTAGGCAGTGAATTCATCATAATACGAAATAAAAGATAGAATAATTCCTTTTTAATAAAAGAAAAATAAAGAAGCCGTCATGAAACAAATGAAAAATTCGTGCTTCGGATATTTGTCGCTGTATTATCTTTTGTTGCAGTTTTGTAATGTTGCTGAATAAATTAAAATATGCAGAGGTCGCGGACAAATAACTGAGGGCTTCTGGTTCCGTTGCAAGGAAAATCCCCACGTTCATCTTGTTCCATAAATGCTTGATTGTGCAGATACTCGGTTTCTGAAGTAGTGTGGAACTTTACCGCCCGAACTCACATAGCCGGAGTAGCGGCAGCTAAAGACGACCAAATTCTTTTTGTCACTTATTTCAGATCTGAACAAATTTTATGATAAACATATTCATGTTTAAAAAATGATTATGGTGAAAGCGGATCGTCTCTCAAGGGAACATAGGCCTAAACGGTACTAAATAATTATTTCTGCCAGGAACATGACTTCACCATAACGTGTATAGAATTAATGTACAGTGACGATCACCACTAATTAACATTCACATATGCAGTATTCTCTTCTGTGTTTGAATGGAGGCAGGAGTTCGAACACCAGAATCAATGGGGAAGGATCCACAGTATTTACACTAAGGTAAAATTGTCCCTGCCGGTCACGGTAGCCGAGCGGTCTAAGGCATGCACTGTCTTCGCTCGCTTGGAAACCGGGATCGTGGGTTCGAATCCCACTCAGGGCATGGATGTTTAGTTTGTGTGTGTGTGCGTTTTTCTGTGTTTGTATACAGGTAGAGGCCTTACGACGAGCTGATCACCCGCCCAAGGAGTCCTACCGAAAGTGTAAGATCTAGAAAAACCGAAATGAACGGAGAAGTTCATGGAGGTAGGCCTAGGCCCACTGGGGCTGTAGTGCCAAGAAAAAAAAATTGTCCCTGTGCTCAACTAATTAAGCACCACGCCATGAAGGCGTATGTTGGAGTGGATGTATAGATCCACATTTTCTTGACCTCGGCACTAGTTGGAGGTGAGTGGTCAGCTTGACGCCCCTGCTGCTTTACCCCCGGGAAAGAGCCCCCCAGTACCCATTGGATACGAGGTTGGGTGGGCCCCAGAGCCGATCTAAACGCTGTGGAAAAGAGAAAATTCCTACCCCTACCGGGACAAGAACTCTGATCTCTCGGTCGTCCAGCCTCTAGCCAGTCACTATACCGACTGAGCTACTAATATACAGAACAAAAATCCGATTCCGGTCTTGGACTGCTCTTACTCGAGTCCTGGTCGGGGCATGAGTGTCTGTCGACATGGACCGATCTCCTATATAAGGATTCCTGCCACCTACCCGAAAAGTTGTAATTCTCTACGATTATAGGAATGCAAAGTTCGAAACAGGCTACAGTGCTCATAAAATGGGGAAAGAAAGAAAAGTAATATATTAATTAAGGAAAGAGAGGTATTGTAAATACGTAATAACTAAAGAGAATATAATAATATTGTCTTTAGCGTCCTGTTGCACTGATTTTCATCCATGATATGTATACAGTGGCCGTCTTGTAGTCCACTCAGTTTCACCTGTTACTTCACGACATGTTTCGGCAACATAGTGCCATCATCAGGTGCCCTAATTACGCTAATCTATTTCATTATTAAATACTTTTTAAATAATTTTATAAAGTCAAGCAATGAAATAGATTAGCGTAATTAGGGCACCTGATGATGACACTGTGATGCCGAAACATGTCGTGAAGTAACAGGTGAAATTGAGTGCACTACCAGACGGCCACTGTATACATATCATGGATGAGAATATATCCAATTGTTAAAAAAATAAAGTTTCTTTTTTTGTAGTTCTCCTTTTGTGAAACGGGGGAGCTGACCTGTCCGGCCTTCGAATTAGTTATGAGGAAGTGGGCCCCAGCACGGAAAGGTAAGGAAGAACACGTATATGCATGCAGTAAGCACTGTTCAGTCCTACATCAACTCGCAGTGAAAAGGGCCATAAGACCATTTGTGTAATGTTACGGCAGGCCCGTTGGAATTCTCTCTTGCACCATATAGAAAATTAATTAATTCCAAGAAAACCAGTCGTTCATACACCAGCATTAATTCAGTTGTACATCGTATAGGTCACTGGTGTCTTACGTCACCATTTTAAGACCCGGTGGTTCTATCTGTTCCACCTACTTAATATACTAACACTTTGCATTCTGCCCACACAATATATTTATGTGTTTCGTATTGAGGTATGTAGACCCATTGCTGGGCAAAGCCACGAGATAGTCAAATATGAAACAACCCAGAGAAAGAGGAAAGTCCGTCGTTGGAAACCGCTGTCGAGCAACGGCTAGTGAAGACGTAACTGTGCACACTTGTGTGTGTGTGTGTGCGTGTGTATGTGTGTAACAGTGAACTGTAAATTATAGTCATGCACTGTATCAAAGAGTGTAATGAATCCGATCATCAATCAGAAATCTGTCAATAGTCACACGCATGCGCGTGACAGTATGGTTCTCACAGCAAAGAGCAATTGTTTCCATACACAACATTAATCGGTTGATCCTTGTAGCAGATATGTAATGTGTTTCCTATGAGGTACGAATTTAATTTTTATATAGTCTTTAAAAGAAATTCAGTCTTTAGAGAGCTAAACTGAGGCTTAAACTTCGCCGACAATATATAGAGCAAACCTGTCAAAGATCACAGAATACCCACTCCACTTCCAGCAATTTCCCTCATTTGCAGCCCGAAACCCTGCTTTCAGTCGACAGTCTATAATGTAACGTTGGTCTAGCTTGCAAACCCATCCGACGTCAGACAATCGCGATAGGGGGTCCATATATAAATCAAAACTGCTACTGATTAAATGGAAAAGGATGTGTAGAGAGGGGTGGGTGAGAGTAAGAACCCCACTTTGTTCAATTATGATTGCGTCAAACCTGAATTTATGGCACGGGATTTACACTGCAAGCCACCAGACCCCCTGCTCTGCTCAGACTGGTTCATTGTATTGTGTAAGAAGACGTGCCTTATATTACGCGATCATACGTAGGGTAGACAGATAGATAGGTAGACGTGTGGTTCGCATGGCGGTCGCTGGTCCGTCCCACGTGAATTAATTGCCCACACAACTCACAGAGTCCTCTGCCTCCTGGTGCCACAAAAATAACCAACTCCTGGAGAAGGTGATACTCCATCACCAGATCTAGAAATTCGCCTCCTTTCACGGAACCCAGTGTTCATTGCCGTGTTCACAATAGCTGGTCACGGAACCTCAGTCTGAAGTGTGTGCCTTCATACTCTATTTAATGCCCACTTTAATAATATCATCTCATCTACGTTAATATATCCCTGTAACAGTCCATGGAGGCCCATAGGTTTGTGAGACATCGAGACTGTCATATTTTCTAGACAGTCAGCTCATAGATGGCGGTAACGTTATCAACTTTAAGCTCCGGTAGTCCTTTACTTCTCAGGAAGATTCCTGGTAGTCGTTTCTGTTAGAGACAGTCGACCACAAGGCCGTAATGCGGCTGGAAGGACTAGGTCAATTGAAAAAAATCAATGACGTCATCGGGAATTGAACCCGCGACCTTCCGGCTTGTAGCATAGTGCCTCAAAAACTACGCTCCCTAGTGCCCCAATCTATGTTATGGTCTCTGAAATAGTTTCTTCGCTTAAGGTTTTTCGACTGAACTTGTATATGCATTCATAATCCCGCAGAGATGGAATGGGAGGATGTTCGAGAAAAATACATGAGGAGAAGCTTTATAATTTGTACACTTCGCGAAATAGAATGATAAGTGAAGGAGGATGAAATGGGCCAGGCATGTAGCACGATTGTGGGAGAAGAGGAATATATATATAGGATTTTGGTGGAATGACAGAAAGAAACAGACCGCTAGAGAGACCTACACAGTAAGGTCTGAGAGAAATAGGATGGGGTCGTATAGACTGGATAGATCTGGCTCGGGAACGCCTCCTATCCCAACTGATATTTGCGAGCTCTTCCTCAGTCTCTTGAGGTTAATGTCGCGGTAGTGCCTCTTCGTTCCTTGTCCTTTTCAATTCACTAATTACTATATTCGACTCTGTAACTTTGAGCTGATAGCAGTGTCTTTAAATAAACCACAAATAAATATGAATAAATTCAAAGAATCGATCAAACACAGATCTGTACTGTCCCATGTTCTTCTCGGACAATGAATTAAAGGCCCATTATTTCGGAGCACAGTGTGAGTTTGACAGTCGACCAACTAGTTCAAAGTTATTTCACAACTTGGTCTGTCTACGTCGCTGGCCACTGGAAGGTGATTGCTTGGTTAGCTCCGTGGTAACCCGCGCACAGTCTCCACACGAACACGGGGGGTCGGATTACCTGGCTCACAGAGAATCACCAGGCTGCTTGCAGCTCCTCAGCTTTATCTTTTCACGCTTGTACTGCATCCAGTTCTCGTGCGATTTATCTTGTAAAATATTCTTAAAACAGATCTTTATTATTTGCATTTTCGCCTAATATTATTGGATTAGATCAGGGCGATGAGAGAGGCGGGACATGTAGCACAAACTGGGGAAACTTATAAAGTATTTCGATCGGAGATCCGAAAAGAGAAGACTACGTTTGTACACTCACGTGTAGCCAGGAGAATATTATCAAATTTGAATTTAAGTGAATAAGGTGTTAGCTCCTGGACTGAGTTCGTGGGTACGTAGGTAAGGAGATAGATGGACAGACAGATGCATGGAAGGCCTTAACTAATGGACTTACTGATTATGTTTGTAGGTCAATAGAAACGCTAGGTACGTAGGAAGGTTTGTAGATGTGTACCAGAGTAGGTAAGTAGGGTAGGTTAGGTGAATATGTAGGTATGTATGTAGATAGATAGGATCCGTAGGTAGGTAGGTGGGAGGGTGTGTGGGTAGGTAGGTAGGTAGGTAGGTGGGAGGGTGTGTGTGTGTGTGTGTGTGTGTGTGTAGGTAGCAGATACCAAAGTATGTTGATACATAAGATATGTATGTTGATACATGGGTAGACTGATTGGTAGGTACATAAGTAAGTAATCGGTAGGCGGGAGAGTGAGTGGGTAGGTAGGTAGGTAGGTAGGTAGGTAGCAGATACCATTGACAATCCGAAGTATGCATCTCTCTTGTCCTCCCTGCGTTCCGGCACTGAATGTATTCCTGATTCTCCGGATCTCTAAGTGAGGTTCTACTGTTTGTCTTGCACTGTTTGTCCGCTGCTACTTCAGTGGTCACTCCCCAGCTGTCCAAACTGCCGAATCCAGTTAACCATTTCTCTCAGGGTACATGCAACAGTTCTGTGACAGCTCTGCTGCCACCGTGAACATTATTAGCACAGTCGGGACCTAGCACAAGGAGAATATTGACCGAGCATTCTCAAATGAAGCCACTTACAGTGACCAGGAGGCACAGCGCTTTACCAGATTTACTCATCTGGATATAGATTGACGCCATGTTCTGAGCGACTGCGGCGTTGCTTATTGGCCACGCGCTCAATTCCCCTTATACTGCAGTTTATTTCTTTTCCCATGTATTTTAATTTCAGGTGTTATTATTATTATTGTGACATGACGCCTGAAAGCCGAAATAGTTCATTGCTAGGCAACGGCTCGGTAAACAGGTTCCCGCGGAAATGAACACGCACGCAACAATACAAGAACCCGTTTCTAAGCAACGGACTGGTAAACACAACAATAGGGACATTGTTGAAAACGGTGTCTTGTGTTCGGTCCGTGCAAAGNGTTCAGTTGAGAATAGTCTGTCGACGTTAGCATTTAATTGAGAACTGAAGGAGTCTCTTGAGGCGGAAGTCGAAGATGATGGAGCAGAGAAGGCAGGGTGTCATATTTTGGTTTGTGAAGCGTAGTAACAAGTTGTATACGTGTGCAATAAATCCGGTCATCAATCCAAAACCCGTCTAATAGTCACACAACCCATAAGTCGGACATTATTATTATTATTATTATTATTATTATTATTATTATTATTATTATTGGGTCACGCGGTAACGTAGTTGGTTGAGGCACTATATCACAAGACGGAAGGTCACGGGTTCGATTCCCGATGNGTAATTGTTTTGTCTATCCTCTTCTTAGACATCCAAGGACTCGTCTTCCTACAGGGTGAGGCCTTGATTGCATAACTGTATAGGTCACTTTCTTCTTCATTCTCTCATTTCCCTACTTCAGTAAACCTGCATTAATTCCATCTGGCGCTGGAGCTTTTCTGTTTTTAAACTTTGAACTATAGTCGAAGTCCACCGTAGTCATTGCATCTTATTCATTTACACATAGTTTTTCGGATTTGAAGGCCTATTTTTTATTCATAACCTATCTTTTTACTTCCTCTGAAACTGGATCAGCAGTATTCGAAGATGAAACAATAAAAAGGAATGGGGCAAATGCAGGCTTATAGGGAAATTGCAGATTAAAAACTCAAATTAGGCCACGACCTTGTCTTCCACAACTTTAAAAAAATTCATTATTCATTACGATCCAGTCATTCAACGCTCTATGTATAGCGTGATTTGCTGACGTCCTCAAGTAAACTACAAACAAACAATGGAAGAAAGCGTCTACTATTTTACTTGTGTGTAAATGTTGTTGTATCCTCACCAAAATGTAGGGAAATATCGTGACATAAAAATAGGAAACAGATGTTTTGACAATATGGCACAGTTCAGATATTTGGGAACGACGATAATAAATTAAACCTGATTCAGGAGGAAATTAAGAGGAGATTGAACTCGGGTAATGCTTGCTACCATATAGTCCAGAACCTGTTGTCTTCTCGTCTGCTGTCCAAAAACATAAAAATTAGAATTACAAAATTATAATTTTGCTTGTGGTTCTGTATGGATATGTAACTTGGTCTTTGACATTAAGGGAGGAACATAGACTGAGGGCGTTT